TGGTCCCCAGAGCCTCTCGAGGTGGTGGGACCCCACAGACCTGGGAGCAGCAGGTGAACCAGAGGGCCTGGTGTTTGGTGGAGGAGTCAGAGCAAGCAGCAGGCGCTGGCCCCAAAGGATACTATCCAGAACTTCCAGTTCTGCAGCGTGGAGGAGCGGACGTACTCGTCGAACATGCTGCGCATCTGGTCGAAGCGCTGGCGCGTGATGGGCACCCCCGTGGCCGGCAGCTGCTCCTGGCACAGGCTGTGGGGCGCAAGCAGTGCTGTGGGTCCATGTTCAGGAGGCTGGGAGCCGCGGGGGCCGCCCCATGGGGAGAGGCTCTGGCAGGACCTCAGCTCTCAGCAGGGGTGGCCAGGCAGTGTCCACCTCCCAGGGCGACTGTGGGGCACGGCCCCATGCTCTGGTCCCACACAGCACTGCCTCTTCAGCATCCCCCCCCTCCGAAACAGGGTTTGAGAGGGAATGGAGTCAAATGCAGGTCCTGGGAGATGCTCCGAAGACCTGCTGTGTCCTGCTGCCTCCCCGGTGCTGCCGCTTGCCCTGCCTGGCTACCCCAATGCAGGCATTGGCTCCCTCCCACCTCCCCCAGCCATGCCCCTCTTACTTGATGGAGCCATTGAGCTCCTCGATCTGCTCCCGCAGCCGCTGCGCCTCGTCCTGCAGGGCTGCCCGCTCCTGCTGCAGCTTGCAGATGTACTCGGCTGTCTTCTGCAAAGTGGTGGCCTTGCTGACCTGTGGGGGCCACAGGGTGAGACGTCGAAGGAAGCCCCCCCCCCAGGGTGGGCAGGGCGTGGGGCACCCGGCGCTTCGTGCAGCGGGGCTGGCTGCGCGCGGTGCCATGTTCCCTTGGCAGCTTCTGCCACAGGCTCCAGAGCCCAGACCACCCTGGCACGGCTGCACCACGCGAGCCTCCATGTGCCTGGTGCGGGCTTGCAGCCTCCTGCCCCACAGGCTGGGGTGCAGGGCAGGAGCCCCGTGCACGGGGGCAGACCAGGGATGCAGCATCCCCAGGTGACACACCATGTCCCTGCGTGCCCAGGGTCGGTCCACACAGCCCTGGGCGCTCACCTTGATGCTGGGCTGGGCGCTCAGCGTGCTCACCAGGCTGTGCAGCGTGTCGAAGCCCAGCTTGATGTTGAAGCGTCTCTTCTGCTCGGCGGAGATGTGCGTGATGCGGCGGCTCTCCATCTGTGGGCAAGCGCTGTCAGGCACCTCCTGGCAGTGGGGACAGCCCTGGGCCACCTGCCCCATCGGGGACGGGCTGGCCCAAAGCACACAGCAAGGGTGGGGGGTGGAGTTTGGGGGGCAGCAGGAAAGAGACATGGCAGCATATGGAGACGGTGCCCCCATAGCAAAGGCGGCGCTTGCTCCTGCTGTACCTTGCTGGACTCAGGCCTGCCCCGACGGGACACGGGGTGGTGCAGGGAGATGCCAGCACCCAGCCTCACAGCAGGTCCCGGGGAAGCCTGGCTGGGCTTGGGCCAGTCGCTGCCTGGAAAAGGAAAGGCGGTGCTCTGGGGAGAGGGGCGGCAGCAGCAGCAGCCCCTCGTGACGGGCTGAGAGCAGGGTCCCGCGCTGGGACGGGCAGAGGGGAGCAGGCTGCAGCGCTACCCCGGCCCTGGGGCAGCCACCCCGCTCAGCTGATGGGGATGCTCCAGTCCAGCATCCGACCACATCTTATTGCTTTGTCTTATCCCAAATCCCACTCATTTTACAACTGCTCAGAAATGGGAACATTTGGGATGTGACATTTTAAATTCGTGGCGTTTCTTGGGGTGGAAATCACCAGGAGAGAGTCCTGAGGGCAGGAAGGCCGTGGTCTGCAGCACCAAACTGAAACTGGGAACGACACCACAGCCTGGTTTCCAGCCACCGCTCTGGTTTCTGCGGGTGAAAGCAAGGTGCTTTCCACTTGAAAACCAAGATCTGGGTTTTCAAAACCACAGTCTGACATTTTGCTCCTTTTTGTCTTTTCCTGTTTCTGCTTTTGCCCCTGTAGAAGGAGGCAGGTGAAGGGGCTGTGCCCTCTCCCGCAGAAAGAAATCATCCGTGCTCAGCTGGGTAAATGTAAATAGCTGGGATTGAAGCCGAAATGAAACATTCCCACAATATTTGGTTCAAGCTCCCTGCAGGAAACGCAGTGTCCTGTGGAGCTCCTTGGGGTGCCCCAGACTCACCGCAAGCCGATGTGGGGGACAGCCGTTCTGCCTTGGGGACCAGCGGTGGGCCCGGCTGGGTGCCCGCCAGCGGCACCGGCACTGCTTGGGAAGGGCTGGAGCCAGGAGCCAGTCCTGGGCTCAGCTGGGCCATTCTGGAGAGGAAGGTGTCGGGGACGTCGGGGACAGCACTCTGCTGCTGAGAGAAGGCAGAGGGAAGTGGGAGGTTGTGGGGCCACCGCCCCATGCACGCTGGGGACCAGGCCTTCCCCTTTGGTCGGTCGGTGCCTGGGCACTGACAGCCGAATGCCCGCGTGGGGAGCGGGGAGGTAGACGTGCAGCCCCATCCCCATGGGGCATCCCACCATCTGCAGGGGCAGCCCCAGTCCCATCACCCCAGGGCAGCATCTCCAGGAAAGGGGCCCTGCAAGTGGGGTGTTTCCCACCTCTGCCCTGCTTCTTTTATGGGAGAAAACACTCAGGTGACTCCTGCCACCCCATCCACGTGCCCCGTGCCTGTCCAGCCCCATATTGCAACGGGTGACCCCACAGAGTCCCATCTCCCCACCTGCCCCATCTCTACCCCTGCCCCAGCAACCAGCAGAAGGCACTTCCTGACCCGGGGGGACAATTCCCAACCCGGGGCGTAGGCGAGTGCTTACCGGGGAGACAGGGGATGCGGGCATGAGTCCTGCGCCCATCAGGCGTGGGGCATCCAGGGCTGGCTCCTGCTTGGCTGCAAGAAGGCAGGGAGCAGAAGGGTGCTGCTGCGTGAGGGTGTCGGGGCTTGGGTGACCTTTCCTGCCCCACTGGACAGCCAGCCCCCAGCACTGGCGTTGCTGCAGCCCCTTCCCTGCCCGTCTACCCCAGGGAAGGGTGAAGCAGCCCCTGGAGAGAGGTGCCTTTGCTCCCCGCAGCGGGGACGTCCTTGGGAGCCTTGGTGCAGGCAGAGACCCCCAGCCCCTCCCCAGCCCAGCATGGGGCTAGACATGACACCTTCTGTGGGACCTGTCCCATCGCATGCATGGGTTGGTCAGGACACTGGTGACCCCTCAGCCCATCTGTGGAGGGCCGCGGAGACCAGGCTGGGGACACGAGGACTTCGCAGCGGTGCCTGTGGCCAAGCCCTGGGTCCGCCTGGGCCCCATCTCCCTCCCCGGGGGCTGCTGGAGCCGGGGGGGGTTCCCCCGGGCACAGCTTCGCTTCTGGGTTTGGTGCTGCTCTGCCGTGGGGACAGCCATGCTCCCTGCCCAGCATCCCCAGCATCCCAACCCCGGGGGGAAAGCGGGGTCCCCCCTCCGATGCCCCCCATAGCATCCCCCCTGCCACCGGCTC